GGATTTCCAGCACTGAAAATCGCGTGCAGCTCTGCTACTAAATGTATTTAAAATGGGTATCTCTGTACAGCTGTCGCGTCCGGTGTAGACACTGTGCTTGTGTGTGAGCAAAAAAAACAATCAGTATAAATATAACGATCAGTAGCCTATACTAAACATCGCACATCCTGCGATGTGACTATTGAGGATGCACACGTCGCGATATCGATGCTGAAACGATATATCGTGCAGCCCTAGTTTTTAGGCTGTACTAGGAAGTTGCCAGGGTATTTTGGGTGGTTCATGTCCATTTTATTTGGTGTTCTGGGTGGTTGCTAGGGTGTTCCTGCTAGCCGATTGTTAGTAGAGTGTTCTGGGGGGTTGCAAGGGCAATTTGAGGAGTTGCTAGGCTGTCCTAGAACATTTCTTGAATGTACAGAGTTGTTGTTAGGGTGTTGAAGTTTATTGCAAGAGTATATTTGGTAGTTGCTAGAGTGTTCTGTGTGGTTACCTGGGCATTCTGGGTGGTTCCTAGGGTATTCTAGAGTGTTTTTATAGTGTTTTGAATTGTTGCTAAGGTGCTCTAGGTCTTTGCAGTGGTTTTCTGATTGGTTGTTATGCATTCATGGTGATTACTAACATGTTCTAGGTTACAACTAAGGCATCCTGAGTGGTTGCTATTGTGTCCTAGGTAGTTGTTAGGGTATTCTGGGTGGCTGCTAGTAGGCCTGGGCGATAAAAAGGTATCGATATTTATCGACGGTACACCTTCTTCGATATCGATATAAGGTAACACTTTATTTTGATAGTCCACTTTAGACATTCTACTAACAGTAAGTAATTTTGCATTAGTCGTTAGAGTATTTGTAGACTGTCTGGTTAATATCTTCTTACACTTTATTTTGATGGGTCCACAACGTACTGACTATAAGAAACTTTGCAAGTATATGTCAACTTATTCTACTAACCCTAAACTCTGAGTTAGTAGACATGCAGTTGCAAATGAACAGTGTTGGGAAGGTTACTTTGGAAATGTAATAGGTTACAGATTACAAGTTACCCTCGCCTGACAGACACGCAGAATGTGCAGGATTCATATATTGTCTTTTTGCGGCTTAATATTCACAGACACTAGTCCATATCGCGTTTTGATTCAAGTGTACTGACCTACTTTTGATTTATTCATCCAAAATGTGGCATAGCCTATTCCGTCCGCGTTAGGCTATAGGACTTCCGTTTTTATGACTGGATTCTTTGAACCAGTCTGTGTTTTCCGCATCGTGGAAATTATAGGGTCGTATGTCTCAGAGTAGTCAGTGTAATTTTTCGGAAATAAATAAATTAAATCTGTATGTGGATGTGTGTAAATATTTAAATGTAATCCCCTTTGTAATCGTTAACATTTTCATAGTAATCGTTATTTCATAAGTAACTGTAATTTAATTACTCATTTTTTCTTAGTAACTGTAACTGATTACAGTTACATTTATTTTGTAATTAAATTACGTAACGCCGTTACATGTAACTAGTTACTCCCCAACACTGCAAATGAATGAGAGTTAGTTGACATGTAGTTGCAAAGTTACTTATAGTTAGTTGAATGTCTAAAGTGGACTATCAAAATAAAGTGTAACCTACCTTTTTTATTTTTTTAATCCATATTGGAAATGGGCTTTTATTATTTTCTATATGAATATATTTTAAAACATAATTCATTCCTGTGATGCGAAGCTGAATTTTCAGCATCATTAACGCCAGTCTTCACTGTTACATGACTCTTCAGAAATCATTCTAAAATGCTGATTTGCTACTCACGAAACAGGAAGACAGATTAAACATTTTTCCTCTAATTATTGACAGCACATCACAATAATTTTAAGTCTAAAATGATTACTTCATCGAAATGTGCAATCAATACACGTCATACTTGCACAGCAGAATAACAGCAATCAGGTCTCTTTCTCTAATGACATTTCTGGTCACATTCACGAATGCACATGCTGTCAGTGAATTTTCCGTATCTGTCTTTCACTTCAAATACAGTCGATGAGGAACGCAAGGTGGTGGAAGAAATAACCCAGGTTGCACTGCCCGCAAGAAAGCGAATTAATGAGGATTTAATGGTCCCACGCAGCCCCGCAACCTTAATCGCTCAACTGCAGTTATGCAAATGACACAACTTGAAGGCAAACATAAGCAGATGATAACAAAACGCCGGAGTTGGGGGATGGAAAAATGAAAGAGTAGCGAAGACGCACAGAGCAAAACTAATATTTAAATGAATCGTTTGATATGGTTTCAAAGAAAATGTTTAACTTCACTATCACGCACAGCTCTTGCCTCACGAGTTATAATGCTCTCTTATTAAGAGGCACGCGGAACATTAAGAAGAAATATGAGCACCCCTGTATGCGCTTAACTCACATTTTCCGGTCTCTGCTTTGATGCATGTGTGATGATGTTAAGGGTCACTGAGGGGTGTTGTAACACTGTGCAAACACGACGAGAGGGAAGAACCGCGATCTGTGATTGCGAGAATTAATGAATGAAGCTGGAAATATGAAAAATGAGTGAAAACACTTGAATATGTACATAGACAAGTGCTTGGCAGCTAACATGAGAAGCTGCATCGGTAATAGACATGCCCACGGTGCCGCATAGTAAAATATGGCATAACACTTTATAATAACTTCCATTAATATGGCTTTAATGCACATTATACTTTATATGGCTTCAAGGAATAGTTGAAAAATGAGAACTCTTTCATCATTTATTCACTCTCGTGTTGCAAAAAACATTCTTTCATGGAACACAATATTCCATTTTGTTCCATTCTAATGTCATTGGTTCTTGCACGTTTCACAACATTGACTACGTTTACATGCACACGAGTAATGCGATTATTTCCAATAATCAGAGTAAGGACATAATCGCATTATGATGTTTACATGTCAAGAGCAAAGCTCTTCACTCCCGTTTACATGCAATTTACATTATTCTTATTATTCGCTAAGAATTGTGGTACATTTTTTACTGCCATTATTCACATACCCCACTGCATGGAACAAATAATAGACTCAGAAAGAGCAAGTGTGTTAACTGGCCGGTGTTTAAATTTAGGCCTATTTATGTCTAATGCAAAACACTTTTGTATGGCTGTATTCCATGCTGTTTCGGCGCCATAGAAATGTGATGGCAATTCGTTTGCCTACGCTGCCGTCGCGTTCTGCTCGCCATTTCTGGATGAGGGTAAGGAACAGAGACTGGTGGCAGCGAGTTGTGTTTTCCCCTAATGCGATGACACGTCATTCATGTATGTCACGAGCACATGCGCACTTTGGTCAGAGTGGCAAAACTGCGATTAAGGTGTTTACATGCCTGTATATTTCGATTAAAATCGGCATACGCCACCTATGTTAATACGATTATTCTTGCTGCGATTATGAGCTTAATCGCATTATTTAGATCGAAGTATTGCGTTTACATGAGGTAAAGTGTCTTTGGCACTTTGGTCAGAGTGGCAAAACTGCGATTAAGGTGTTTACATGCCTGTATATTTCGATTAAAATCGGCATACGCCACCTATGTTAATACGATTATTCTTGCTGCGATTATGAGCTTAATCGCATTATTTAGATCGAAGTATTGCGTTTACATGAGGTAAAGTTTAATCGCAATATTGCCAAAATCTCATTATAATCGCATTAAGAAGGTGCATGTAAACGCACTCATTGTAACCTTGCATGTGCACATTATTAGCAAATAATAACTTTAATTAGACCTTTCTGTGAGCCAAATATAAATTTATAATTAAGTAATATAATTATAATTTTACAATATATAGTATGTGTGGTAAATATATAGTAAAAATTTTATAAATAAAATATATATGTACTGTATACTGTTATTGTATAAATATTTCTGAAATCATATATATATATAGTAAAATTTTTAATGTCCTTACTGTATTTTTTGATCAATTTAATGCATCCTTGCTGAATAAAAATAATAATTTATTCCATAAAAAATACCTTACTGAGGCCAAACTTTTTAATGGTATTTACAACTAAGTATCTGTTAAGCATTATAGGCAGAAACCGAAATCCGATTCAGTGAACCAACTTAAATCAGTGAACAGCACTCTTGAAACTTGATTTAGACTCGGCCCTGAAAGACCTGCGACTTGTGAACATGTCTGATTGTTGTTCAGCTGAAGATCCAAGCACTCACCATTGAAATTAACGTGCCGGACGTATCCCAGCAGCTCTTTTCCGTTGATATTGCTCATACGGGGGCAGAGGCCGGGGTATCCAAAGCAATAGTCCCTGTGCATGCGGTGAAGCGCGTGTGCCATGGCATAAACCGCATCCATCACAAACTGCACCTTGCCTTCCTGCTCGTAACTGGAGTCACGGCCCACCTTCTCCAGACCTGCACAAACACATACAAAACACACATCCTGAACAAACACGGTCTTTTGAGAGCTCAGCATAAGATGTTTCATTTGGAGAATCCACTCTTGCAGATGCAGTAATTCTCTTCATAATAAATTGCTATTTAATGTTTCTCAAATGTATCCACTCATTAGAGTAATTAGCTAATCAAATCCTCGAGGAGGCGCGTGCGCCGGCCATCTGATGCACACGTTTTGCCCGTTAAAGCAGCAAAAATGTGTTCTTTCCAAACAAATATTTTCTTCCATATCTCTCGAGACGGGAAAAGTAATATCACAGCTGCCGTTCGGAACAAATATTCCAGCTGTTGTTGTGCGGAAATTGAATTTGGCTCGGGCATCTATGATTATTTCTCTCATAATCATCAGAGCGCTTTCCAACTTGGTGTATTTTAGCATCGGATGCCTCCGGGAAGATCTTTCTTCTCCCGCCACGGTTTTCGACACAATGAAGGATAAATAAAACGTGGGCAAGGTGAATTAGCAAGACCTGGAGTTCTCCATCGTTTCTGCTGTCAGCGAGGAATTAATAGGCTCCTGTAAATGAAATCCAATCCACTTTTATAGCGCTTTCAGAGCAATGGGAAAATGATGCATTTGGTCTTCCAAAAACTAGATGGATTACCCGACCTGAACAGTGTGATTAATACGACACACAGAACAACAGGCCAGAGAAAACTGACTCCCAGTGTCAAAACAAGGTGAACATCAGGTTTATTTGTGGTCACACCTCCACAATAACAGACCATTCACAATCAAAATCATGAACTATGTTCGGAAAGCAATACTAGCTGGAAGCCTACTGGTGAAACATATTGGTGAATATTTAAAACATATAACATATAATAAATTATAATAGTATAAATAATGTAATAAAAAAATTAAAATCAAAATAGAAAATAAATATAATCCTGAATACATTATAAATATAATTATTATAAATAATAATGTAATAAAATAATAAATATACATAAAATAATATAAACCTGAGCATAATATAAATTAGGGCTGTCAATCGATAAAAATGTTTTCTCGTGTTTAAAAGCGAAACACTGGAATGAATACTTAAAACGAAACGCGAGTCTCTGTTCTGTCTGCAATTTCTGATGTAATCAGCCTGGTTTCCTTTATATTAGCGCTGTTTTGGACGGATTGTTTGAA